TAATATTTATTTATTATTTATTTATTTAAACACATAAATATTGGTACAAGGAAGCACCAGATAAATATGCGCCTCACAAATCTCATTCGATTTGTGTGAGAGCTGTGATACTGCTCAGGTGCCCAAACTGAAGCAGGTGGTTTTCTTAGGGGGCCACACCCGGAGCCTTTGACCTGAATTTCTGATCCACAAGGCAGTGAAGCATCGTGAGGAGATGCAGTCCCATGGTAGCCGGTGATCAACGGTTGATTCGTACGCCATTTGTTCCATCAGGATACTGGAGCCCATGTGCACGATTGGTTTGGAATCAGGGTTTTCCAACTCCCCTAGGTGAACTTTCCATGTCCACCAACCCAGTTAAAGCGCCGGACATTCGCTTTTCGTCCTCTCACTTTCGTGAACAACACCGGTGCCACGAGAAGGCAGTGATTAGGACTTCCCTGGCAGAGGCTATATATTCGCTGGCCATGTGAGAGCATTTCTAGAGGGAGAGGTGACTCTCTCCACTCTCGGCCGTACCAGGGCATTTGGGGGCTTTGATAGTATAGGTTTTTTTAGAACCTTTGATAATATAGGTTCTAAAAACTGAGTAAATTTAAATAATTTATAATGGACTTGTGTCATTCTGTTTTATTCTTTAGTTACGTTTTGAATTTAAGTTTTTTTTTGTAAAGAAGAATATTGGGTCGTTGTTGTTACTTGAAAGAATTTTACGGAGATTATTTTAATTTATCAATTGTGTTCATCATAGAGTGATTTCAGTTGGGTTAAAAGTGAATAGCAGGATGCACTAAACAAATATCTCGTCCTAGTATTGGATTTCTCATTAGCTAGTTAACTAGTTATTTTAACTTGTCTCAAAGTTCTAGTTAGAAGTTGTGACTGGTGTTCAGATATGTGGGGAGTGAAATAGTTACCCGTGGTATTAAATATTCATTGTGCTATATTGGAAATTGGTTTAAGTAGAACTTGTTTAGTTGGACTCTGACGCAGGTGTTTTAATCGTTAAGCTTTTATCGTGAGTACTTAAAGACCCTGGATTTGGTTTTTAATGGTGCATACTATTATGGAGTTCCATATTAAAATGCTGTTGTTATTTTGAAATAAACATATTATTCACCAATCAAAAAATGCTCATCCACTATGTCTACGTACATTCATATTCAATTGTAACTGTTATCTCCCCCTTAAACTGGCAGTATTGATATCATATATCTGTGTTTTCTAGATTTCATAAAGCAATGAAACTATATTATATTCTGTTCATTTTATAATTTATTTAATCTTTATTTAATTAATGATGTTACCAGTGTTGATATCTCTGACTTGATAATCTATGTATAGTCAATCGATAACACAAACTCCGATATTCTCAATTGTTCATTCATTTTATTATGTAATTAGACTGACAAAAATATTGTTGTATAACTAATTATATGTATATATACTCATGTGACCACAAAATGAACTTGTCCATTTGATCAAAGAGTTGATCTGTGTGCATGACAAACACTTTACTAATACAATTTATAACCTGATATATTATAGGTTATTGAAAAGGAATGAATACTATACACAAATGTGTCTATCAAACAATTTTACTTCAAGGTTGATTGGATGGTAATTAGTGACAAAACTGACGTGTAACAAATCAATAGCGATTAATCTGCTCAATTATGTGTCGGATTGCTTATTTTTTATTATGATTTTAGTTTGTTCGTTATTGGCATAGTGTGATTGTAGCGATGATGAAATTCCGTAGTTTACATCATGAAATGACCTTAGTTAAATAACCATTGAAACTAGGAAACAGTGGATAGCTTTTTCGTTGTAGTATGGAACTACTCAAGAGTTTACATCCACAACCGTCACCAGCGACCGAGCTCAGGACCTTCAGGTCTTATGGAGAGTGCTTTAAACTTCGGCAACGAATACTTTGCAGTTCTAACTTAAATCGATCCCCAATATTGTGGAGTCATTTTCTAATACTGTTAAAAGGTAATTGCCTCACATCTAGCATAGTCGATTTCTACCGGTTAAGGCGTGTCACTATTTTTCAGGGAATCTCATCTCTCAAAATTTAATCACTGTTGAACATCCATGATTCTTATTAGTATTGGGGGTGATATCTCCATTTAAATTAACTGATGTTATTATTATTCCTAAAGTGAATGTACATTATTTTTGTTTTTCTATTATGTCTATTGGACATGATTTCGTATATGTGATATTCAATATATACTTTTATTTTAATGTTTAATGTGTACTTTAGCTGTTTTGAAATATACTGGACGTTATAATATGTTCATAAATGTCACATCGGACCACAGTAATCATATGATAAGTACTTATATTTGATTAACTAATTGGTCAAGGACACATCAAAAGAGACTAGAATGAAATAGACCAGTTCACATGGTTTTCCGCTTTGATATATATCAAGCCAGACAATCAAAATTCATTTGACGTACTGTACATCATATTATGTGTAGTGAATGTGATTTCCAATATGTATTCAATACTTTCCTCTATTTCCCGTATCTTTACCATATATTAGTTGTCGTCAGTGTTGTCAGTTCATTAATTAGTATTCTTGTATACTTACATACTGTGTTATGAATTTGGTAGATAAATAAATAAACCGTATATGAACTAATTTGTTTACCAATTAATCCCACGTGTTCTGTTTTTTTTTATATTTCTGTGTATTTATTTTAATGAATATACACATGTACTCATATAGTTTGTTTATTAATTAACTAATCTTTCGTTCAATTAAGTAAAAAAAACCCATTACACTTAGTTTACCCCCCCCTCCAAAAAGGTGGAAACTATTCATGTGAGAAATTCGCTGGAAAGTTTATTGTGATGATTATAAACTGTAAATAGGTAAATGATTGAAAGAAAATGTTCAACTGTGTATAGTGAAAGAATTCTGATTGTAACTCATAGATAGAAAGGATGGGGGGCGTGTTCGTGTATGATCATTGAATGGAAGAAAGTGTATTTTTGTACTATACACTACAGAAAAAAAGAAGTTGGGTTTAGCATACTAATTTCTTTTTGTTTATGTTTTGCATCATAGATTAACCTCAGATAACTAATGAAAATCAGCAAGTGTTGGAGATAATTTTTTCATTCTGGTATAATAGTTGTCAACACTGATTATCCAGGATCCCAATGGGAATTGAAGCCAAGACTTTCTTTATCTTATAGCAAGCATTTATTCTTTAAACCATTGAGTTGGTATTCATTAATTATATATTGCTTAGTCTGACTTCACAATTGGGGATTTCTACACAAAGAGTATATGTATATACTTTTAACTATGATAATGTCTTTATAATTTAAATATTTTGAAATTAAGTGTGATTCTCCATAAATTGTATGAATTTTAGCTAGCTGTAGAATCTAGAAAGTGGCTTTCTTTTTGTTTACGACTCATCTGCCAAATGTATGTGCATCTGTGTCGAGGTTCTCATCGTGACTTGAACTTAGTACCTCTCACCCTAGAATTCAGTCAAGCATATCATCAATAGGATAATTCAAACATTCTCTAATAACTCTATAAGTGTAATTCTGTTTTTTTTAAAAATTTACATCATGGTGACTGATGTTGGTTGAGTCAATGTGAAATATGTTTTTAATCATAAAACAGTTTACAGTAAGAAATAATGAAATTACAATGGACAGTTAGTTTTAAAATGACTAATGAACGGTTGCATGTTGAACTACTATCGTAGACAAAAATAGTTTAGGTTTAGACGTTCAAAGTTGGTCGTGTAGTTAGGCTTATGAGTTTGAGTTATAAGTGTTAGAGTTGAGCAAGATAAGGTATGCTAGGGTCAGTATTTGTGGATAGGCTGGGCAAATGAATTTTATCGATAAAGACACCCTTGACGATGTCTTGAATCACATTAAGGTCGCTCAAATACAGCATTGAAGCAGTTTTTAATAAGATACATACTTGCTTCTGTGCTTGGAATGACATCATCAACGAAGGTATGGAGACAAGAATAAGCCTGGTCGAAGCCAAAGTTCAATGGATATGAAAAGGAGGAACAGTTGTGGTTTTGAGAGGAAATAAAGGTTAAGGTTATCGTAGAAGATGAGGTTAAATAGAATCATTTGCTATACAGAGTTCTAGTTCTTCTAAATATATACCAAATGCTTCAACAAAGCTAAAAAGATGGAAGCTTACTGTGCCTTATTTGTTGTATTTTATTGTATGAACTTAAGCGTTGAATCTATTTTGATCGAATGATCTGTGTTCGCAAACTGTTCGTTTGTGTAAGTCTTTATATATTTACTCGATTTATTTACTTCTTTTGTTTTGGTATACTAATGTCTAAAAAGTTGCTATGATGGGGGGAGAGATACTGTAAAAGTGTAACTTTTGGGACTATCTTTCAAAAAATTATTATTTATACTTTTATTGTATAACTACTAAATATTTGAATTATTCCATTCTTACATTATTCTAGTTGTAAGCCTTTGTTTGGCCCATAAAGAATTTTTCTCTTTTATTTTATTATCGCTTATAAGTTATGAACCCATTGCTCTGTCCTATTCGACTTACGTCCATATTATAATTTCTTATTTATGTTGATATGTGATCTGGAAATCAGCTCATATTATCACACTAGTTTTAGTTATGAACTGAACTGTACAACAGAAGTTATCTTCTTGCTGTGTTGTTATTCTTTGCTGACTATTGGGCAAAGGAATATATGGGGACCTCATACTGGATCAATAAGTATAGATCTCAGCTGGTTATCTTTCTGTCTTTTGGTTGTTGGTCAAAGAAAAGTCATTAGTTCTATACTGCCAATCTAGGTGGATTAATCAATACTCGGACTAGAGATCCTACAATTGGTCTTTTTAATCACACGGACTCCGAAATACAATACAGAAAATCTGTTCCTTTTCTTGTTAGATCCAACATAATATTTATATATTTGTTTATCCTTTTTTTATTATCTGAAATTTCACCTTGTTAGATTACCAAAAAAGAATGTGAATGGCTGTCAAACACGTCGACCGAGCAGTTCTTTAACTGATCCAATATGGACATTAGCTGGTATACTGTCACATCGTTATAAATCAAATAAATGGATACAATTGAATTTATGTCTATTAACAAATGATTCAAGATTAGTTGCTTATAAAACTGGTCACTCAATGACACCGTCATTAGCTTTATTCTTGTACGGTTCCACTGGTATTTATTCAGGTCGTGATAGTGGTATGGAACATGTGATTAAAATAGTACACTCTAGTCGTGAAATTATTGTCTTAGCTGCACCTACAGAAGAACAAGCGCTGATTTGGGTTCAAGTAAGTTGAATTATTATGGAAATGCACTTGTTCTCTACTTTTTTTTGTAATCGAATGAATTGATCGTTTGAGGGTTGTATTATTCATCACAAATGGTCTTTAGTTGGATTGCTAATGAAAACTAAGGCGTACTAAACAATTGCTTCATCGTGTTATTATGGGATTCATCAGCTTTGTTTACTTACAATCCCATCAGTGATCATATCCAAGGTTTTCAGTTTTCGCAGCAAACACCATTAGAACAACTAAATCAGCGTCCAGTGGTACAATATCAAAATAAATTGTTTTTATATATAGTGACATGATCATGTGATGTCATCGGTGTTATACAAATTCGTGGCTGATGGAAGAGTGAAACAGTTGTAGTATTGTGCATAGTAGATATATGTATTTTAGTGTATAATGAATATACTGAAATTGGGAATATGCACCCACTAATGATTTTATCTATAAAATTCGTAGGGGTACATTAAAACATGCACACACGACCATACACCTCATTGAGATTCAAGTATCATAGTTAGTCGGTTGATTCAGTTTTTCAATAGTCTCTGAGTTTCTTCAGTGCTGTTCTATGATGTTCACCAATGGTGTAAAAATATCTTCTCAAGTAAGCCCCAGAATACTTTATTTCTATTATTTTACATAATGAACACCACTTACATAGCTCATTAGAATTTTAATTGAACTGACTACCATAACATTGATATACTGACTTAAATATTGTTGTAATATCTTATTTCTTAAAATTCAGCAAATTAACCAGTACTCTCAAGGTTCTATACCAATGGAGGTTTGTTCATTTTTACCACATTTGAATGTTCCAAATTCCGCTAATACTCAAACGTCTACCACTTTCACTATTAATGCTAACAAGAATATTAGTTATACGACTGACCGAAACTTCACATCTCCACAGTTAACAAGTTGCAATAATCGTTCTTCTTCTACGGATGTAACTGATCTACAGGTAAGGAGTATAATATGTATTCTATTGTTATCACTTGCTGGCCATTCACATGGTTTATTTTAAATAAACTTCATCATTGTGCTTGTCATTCGAGACATTTCCTTTATTCATTTTGCGTACTTAATAATTAATAAGTAGTACAATGTAAATCTTTTATATTAATTAGCCTTAGATTTGAAAGCTTTGTGAGTATTCTGTAAAAGATTTATTTACTGTCTTATTTTTGAAATACAAATGCTCAATCAATCGTTTGTGATTAGAGTAGGACATAGGATGAAATATACAATGGTCTAAAAATTGTAATTATCAGTAAGACCGATATGAGATTGATAAAACGAATTGTAGAGGGGTGAATATAACACTGATAGCAGTGATGATCGTAAAAGAAATTAAACATAAACAGTATTTTACATAAAGAAAGAATATATTCACTGAATAGAAGGTATAACATAACTTTTTCAACTCAGGATTTAAAGAGAGGACAAAGAGGACTGTGTCTGTTTTATTGAGATATCGCTTCTATTCTATGTTACGTAACGTCTTTAACTATTGGTCATCATAATTGTTCTGAACTCCATCAGATAATCTTCATTTACCTATATAGTTCAGTCAAATGGTCAATAACTTCATGGGTTGATGTCATATCCTGTTTTACAAGGTTCTGGCTTTCTTGAAACTTATTCCTATACTGGCGATTATCACGCATCATGATAGGCGGTTATTCTAGTCTACACTCTCCATAATGAATTACAGCCTCACTAACCCATCTTATTAATATTAATAATAATAATAATAAAATCATGAATTTATAACATAAATTTATTTCCTTAAATCAATATGATCGGTTCCGTATTTACAGAACATGCTAATTTCTCTTTTGAATTCCTTTCTTTCACTGATTTCTTATCAGCTAGCTAGTTAAATATTTCATATTTTCATATCATATTCTGGAACATAAAACATTTTGTCTTTTTTTTGGTTTTTCAGGTTGACAGTGAATTTTTAACTTTAAACAAAACAACATGCACGGAGTCAGTTCGATCTGTAAATCCTACAAAAAGTCTATCGTTTGATAACCGTAATGCTGGTGTTTTATTAAGTTCTTGTGAAACTAATTCTCAACTTAATCGTAAAGGAGAAAAGTCTGTAACAAGCCATAGAATGACAACTTCTCCCATTGATGATGTTATCAATACTAATGACTCTTCCCTTAATGGTAGTATTATGACAGATTCAATTCATCGTTGTCTCTCTTCTAGTGTTGTAATACCATCAAGACCTTTATCATCAATGACATTGTCGTCTGTATTTGATACAAGTACAATAAATCTAAAACAGAATTCACGTCGTAGTAGTTTAATTTCATCAATGCGTCGTAAAGTAGAATCGTTTAGTTCTAAACGTCGTATACGTAAATCTTTACCACAATCTTTAGAACCATTAACTAATAGTTATTCGAATGTATCTGAAGATGAGACGGCGTTAAAAGGACATAGACGAATGTTAAGTGATGGACAGTGGAAAAATAATTTGTCTAGCTCAAAGTTTTCATCAGTTCAATGTCTTCAACAACAATCACAGCATATGATTTCATCGCTGTCTCTACCGCCTCCTCCCGCTGCTTGTGTATGGAACTCATTTGGGAATTCTGGCAAAGGATTTGGTTGGTCCCATTTAGTATCAGCTGGTGTGAGATTTTTAAATCAAAACACAACTCCAACAGTTATCCCATCTTCTTCTACAAATAATAATCGACCTCTATCTGTTCGTTATGATTCTTCAGCGGCAACGTCGGATCCTTTCTCCTCACAGATATACCTGACATCAAATTATGGTCCATTGTTGGATTTAAGCGCGATAAGGTCACATTCTACTGCTTCATATACTAATGATGCATCCAATGATAATCACATAGTCATAGCAGGTAAGATTGTATTAAGTAATTATTTCCCTTTATAGTGAGATGAATTTAATGTTTCGTTTACTTTACTAACATATAAATTAGAAATTTTGGTTGTATTACTATTAAATACGGCAAATATATGAGGTTGACAAAGTGTGGAATATTTCGCCATTTCGTAGATATTTTCAAATGACCATTATTTTGTTTTACCTAATCATTTATTTGACTAGATGGGAAGATAGTTGTAATTCATATATTAAGTACAGCTTCCGTGTACTTGGCTTTTAAATATACTTTATGTGTAAGGGCTAATGATACAATCTGGCTACAAAGACTGAAGTACTTGAGTCGGGACTCAAATGTACGATCTAGTGGCTGGAAGTTGGATACCTTAACTACTTTGTTCCATTACTACTTGGTTATGTGATCAGATAGCTGAGTAAGTAGTATTTACTGGCTGTTTTTATTTTATCGACTAATCTTTTCTGTAATTCTTATAACTTCTCGTAGTATGAATTAAGGTAGGTCCATTTTTTCATGGATCTATGTCTGCAAACTATCTCTTCACGTAAGATCATTTATCCTATTACGTTGTTTGTAGATGTATACAATTGTCAGTATGTTCAGTAGATATTATTATATAGCATAGGCGATCTTATACATTATTTTTAATTCCATTTAAACGTATCTTTGCTACATTAGTTATAATTGTCCATTGCATTATTAATTACTTAATTTGTTTAAGAGTAAACTAGAAATGGAATGACTTTTTTTTCTACAGATTTACGCTTCTATAAAAAATTTACATCAGTAGGAGTGTCTTTTTGAAATAAGCATTCATTCATACGTCGTTTCTATTCCACAATGATGGTGCAATAGACTCTAGTCAGCCCAAATAATGTTCGACATAGTGATCTTGTGGTTTTGATATTACTTTGGTAAGGTTTTCTCTACAACTGGAAAAAGTAAAGCTATTTTTTTGACTCTGTTTAGTTTCATAATATTGTGTATACTATTAATTGTAAGGATTGAAATTATCCCGTTGTTGACATTAATGACTGAATTTTCCGACCGGTATTTGTTGATGTATGTGCATCCTGTACGAATTTCTTTGTTTTAACCGTTCTGTCACAAGGTTTTTCAGAATAAAAGGATTATGATTTGTGGAGTGAAATTCAGGATGCATATTTATTCCTGTTTAGGACTCGTCATTTATATGTATCTAGATCCTGGTGACAAACAAGCTAGCGGCTGTCTGAACTCAATAGATCGACGGCTAATGCATTGTTTCAAGCGAATGATAGTGGTCTTGAGTCTCAGTGTGAAAATTAACTTTGGAATACAAGTGTGCTTCCAGCTGACAAGTCTTAGTCAAGACAAAATACGCTTTCTTGATTCCATTTTTAGCCGCAATCGATCTTTTCTAAAAATCAGTATATTATATAGTTTAAAATTTATTTTTAATTGACTTTTTGTCGACCTCATACTCTCTGTCCTTATTCTCATCATTCCATATTTAACTCTTCGGCTTTTTTCCCCACCATCCATCTCTAGGTGATGCTTTCATTTCTATACCTGATCAAGTGCCTTGGACTATTAAATGGTGTTGTTTAAGATTGAATTGTCTTGAAATCTATCAAAATAGTAGAAAAGATTATAGTAAAGTCAGTCAAAATTCTAATCAATATATCGATGAAAATTATAATTGGCCTATATTTTCGTTACCATTGAATAGTGATAAAGTTGAATTAGGTTTGGCTGGTAGTAGTGATAAAAGACATTCATCAGCTATCCGTTTATCTGTTCCAACGGAGTGTACAACACCATTATTATTTGATGCTATCGATAAAACACAAATGGGTTCATGGATAAGAGGATTTATCCAAGCATTAGGGCTTGTTGGGCCAACCGATGTTGCACATCAGAAGAGTAAGTTTGGTTCTTTTATTACCTCATAACAATATTGTATAGTCATAGTTATGAATTACTGACTAGTCTTAGCTAGATCACCAACGCAAACTCAAAAGCACTGGAAGACCATTTAGTTTTAGTGTGAGACTTCTTGGCAGTTTGCGCTGATGTCCCAGTTACATGTGATCGAATCCATGACCATCAGTCTCGCATGCGAACACTTAACTTCTCTATACCACTGACTAAGCATTCTATGGTATACATATCTAACTTCAATCGATTCACGATTTTGTGCAAACCTCATCCACTTTCTGAGGTGAATACTTGTAATATCCAACATGACTTTGATCCCCCTATACTAATAATAATCATGTGCTCCTTAGTGATTAGCTTCAAGATGTAATTTTTGGGATTCTAATGAGAAGGATTGACCATTAGGGTTCAACCGTGTTGGATGGCAGACAGCTATCCACCTTAAGGAAGGGATGAGGTTTGTACAATATCGTGAATCGATTGAAGTTAGATATGTATACCATAGAATGCTTAGTCAGTGGTATAGAGAAGTTAAGTGTTCGCATGCGAGACTGATGGTCATGGATTCGATCACATGTAACTGGGACATCAGCGCAAACTGCCAAGAAGTCTCACACTAAAACTAAATGGCCTTCCAGTGCTTTTGAGTTTGCGTTGGTGATTTAGCTAAGACCAGTTTGTTGTTTAAAAAATTAAGATTCGATATTGTGTATCCTTTCAGCAAAGTTGGACAATTTTATTCTTATTTCACTTATTATGCCACGGCTGGATCATATTTAACGGCAATAGTACATAGTCAGTAGTTGTTAACGTAATATAAAACCTGGGACAAACATATGCATTAACCTCCCAATTCGTTCATACCAATTTAACAAGCAGTCAGTTGGAATTAAATTGATAAATATCAAACTGGTCAAAATAATAATAGTATCAATAACAATGAGGTCTTAACGGGCAGAAGTTAATGATGTTAGTGTTTAGCAGTTTGAATGAATCAGTTAGTCAATCATAAACAGAGTAAAATCTCATGGCGCATATACATGGACTATTTCAAGTTGGCGTGACATTGCATCAACGCAACGAGATGAAATTGTCAAGATAAATTCCATAGTGGTAGAAGTAGTAATAGCCGGTCGTAGTAAAGAAAATAGTAGCCTGTAAAGAGTATGGATAAATTCACATAACAAAAAACATATGACAATTTCATAATTTAATATCCGAGAGGGTGGGAGTGATGATAAAGAACAAATACATCCGTCCCAATTTTATCGATTCTGAACCATTTCACTCATCATCATTCCTCACTAGCAATCATGGTAATCACGTGGACCACCAATCACATGTTAGTCTTTCAAGATTATTTCTTGATCGAGTAGAGAGAGAGAGGTTGGACGAAATGTTTTTCAACATTCACTTTTACTTAATACAGAATTATTAAAATTGGATAAACGTTTCTTTTACAAAACTCAAAAAGGTTTTTCTAACTTTAGGCTTCCTCTACTGTTAGTTTATAATGCGTAATTCCTTTTCTGGAAGGAAAAAGTGATCATTTTCCTAAATTTTAACAATAACCATCCATTAAGTAATCTATCTCTCATTCATCGATTTCTTTTTGTTTTGTATATTCAGATTATTCTCTACATAGTACGTCTTCAATAGAACCTAAAAATACTGTTCTCCTTCGTCCTTCTTATGTTAGTGTACAAGAAAATCATATTCATTCTGTTCCATTAATAAAAAATCATACTGTTTTACCATCAACAACAACTATGAATCCACTAACATCAACATCGCTGATTCACCGTATACCGAATTCAATTATGGAAACATCTCAAACATCAATGTATTATTCTGATATACATGACAATGATGTTGATGACGACGTTGATAATAGCAATAATAATAATTCATTCTTTGTAAATGTTAAAAAACAAGAAACATCATTATCTTCATCCAATATAGTGATTTATGATGAAGTATGTCCTCCACAACCAAGTTTTACAACAGTAACTAATAATATCACTATTACTACTACTACTACTACTACTGCTAATACTCCTGCTACATCGTTGATATCTTCAACAGAAACCACTAGAAATCCCCCTAGTTTAAGTTTTTCTAAAAGACGTTGGAGTTCACCTTTGTTAATTGTTGATTCATGTACAAAATTTCCTGGATCAGTTTATTTATCAAATATTGAATCAAATAGCGCTCTATTAACTAATAATAACAGTAACAATAATAATAAATCATCTCATTGGCACATACCACCACCAAGTAGAAGATTATTAGCTCAACCATTGCCTCCATTACCGTCAGTTGGACCGAGTACATGTGAATCAATGGCTGGTACAATTACAAGTGATGGTAGTTGTACTTCATCGAATGTAACACCAGATGATTTCGTTGGTTGTGTTGATGATGTTAATGATGATAATAATGGTTATCAAAATGAAGATGAACATGTAAAACTCATTAGATCTACTAATATAAATTTAGAAGTGAGTAATTCATTGTATCAGTTTAAATAAGACTATTTGGCTCGTTAGATAAATAGAACAGGAAGTGAATTCATCTTGTTCATTATATAACTTAATGTTATAAATAAAAATAAGGGGTCTTATGAGAGAGTATCATTTGAAATACTTGACCCTACGTGGAATTCGAGGACCGAACGACGAGGTTTCTCTTAAGATTAAACTGCATATAGTTAATTAGTCAGTCATTCGCAACGTAGAAACTTGTGCACATGTACATCGGCTCAAGTCGCAATACTATATTAGCTCAGACTGATGAACTTGTCAAATCAAATCCTAGAATATTAGAGGTAGTAACAGTATGAATGGTGATAGTATCGATTAGACATCGAAGACAAGATTCAGGAAAATATAAGTTGATGATTTAAAAACAAAAATAGTTTTTAGGAGTTCAGGAGCTTAGAACTTAGGGGAAGACAAAAAAATGGATGCATCTACGCCGTTGCAAACGATTTTGAGTCATATCATTCGAAGCCTCCATCGGCTACACGAATCATATGGACCCCAAACAGGTAGTCTTAAGTCGATGACTTCATAAATTGGTACATTGTTGCAGTTTGGCTACCCTGAGCTTTCTGCCAGCCTACTGCACCAGACAACATCCCCGTTGAGGTAGGTGTTGGTTGGGCATACATAACACATATCCTAACCATCTCAGCTGATGAAGATTTACCACTTCATCAATCGGTTTGCCATCTTTACCTGTAACCCTATTCCTAACCCAGGCACTGCTTACTCAGTGGTTCCAATGCTTTGAAGACATCTACGATCAAATAATAGTAACTCACGATTATGCTCCATTATTAATTGCCATGTTTCACACCTATAAATTAGGACAAAGAGAGCTACTGGCGGGCAAATTCATCTTTTGTTTGGCATATAGTGAACCCGTGGCTCAATGAATAAAATGTTTAACCTCTAGCCATTGGGCTGTTAGTTCGGTTTAGGTGGCTGGGTGGTATCACTAGCTCTCATACTTGGATTGTCGACCAAATTCAAGTACAAAGATGAGCACCTGAAAAGTGAAGTGATATTAGTATTAATAAACAAGTGTTTATGAACCTCAGTTTCCCTATCGATTACATAGTCACAGAGTGCAAGTATGTTTTATATAGAAAAAGGGGTGAGCATAATTGTACAACACCTGTTATGAACCAGAATGTGAAACAGCTATGTATCAAATGGACTACAATCACCAGCGAAATTGAAATATGTGCTTATTTTTCGGAAATTGACAGGCTGTTAGAAAGCATCTGTTTGAGTAAATAAAGTAAAATTTTAAAATAATTCATCCACCAGTTATTTAGTTATGGATCCACGATTCAGGTGTGACGGTCTATGATATTACCCGGTTGCTGAAGCCGAAATGGATCAGGGTAGGATTTGGGAACTTAGTGACTGAAAGTCGTCATCATCATGCATCAAAGCATCCAGGTCATTAAAAATGATTGAATATAATATATTCTATTGAACAACATTTAGTAGCACAATATGGTATACTTCAAAAAAGTTGATAGGTGATTAGTTAACTTTTTATTCATTTTTGATAACGTTTTTCTAATTTTCCCGTAAAATCTCCTTTTAAAAACTTTGATCAACTTACTGTTTCTGCTATAATAGACTGATAACTATTCGTTGTATTGGTCGAGGAAAGACAAAATGTTAGACGGTTGTAATTTGCCCTCATCCCTGCTGAATCGTCGATATGCCAGCATGAGTAGTTTAGAATATTCTTTACCATTCAACAAATCGTCGACAAGTATTTATGATAACAATAGTAATGATAATGGTAGTACTAATGAACAAAAGAAACCGAAGAGGAAAAACAGAAATACGAATATTTTAAAACAATTCTATTTGCATAAACAATGTCATTCTTGGATCCATAATAATGATAATAAAGCAGAAAATAATACTAATTGTACACTGGACATAATGAATAATAGTGGTAGTAATTCAGTGTGTACAACATTTATGACAGATGGTATTTATTCATCACCCTCGTGCACAGCATTTACATTTATATCTGAGTCAGATAATACAACTTTGCATAAAACTGATCCGGATCTTGTTACTAAAGATACTACTAATTCTACTTGTACGACTACTACTACTAGTACATGTACAAATGTTATTAGTAATGATGGTGATAATGATAATAACAGTCGAAGAAATTCAGGTAATGATTTTAAAGCTTTATTGGTAATCATTTTTACATGATTCTCCCCTCTTTTATTAATCTTGTTTACTAACTTTTATCCAATCACACTTTCGGTTCGATCACTTCAAAGTCGTCTATCTAACAATTAGGGAAGTTTATAGATACTTTTTTTTACTTATAAGCTGTTTGAAGTATGTAATGAACCTCTGTAGGAAGTAATTCTCTACAGATAGGTTTCTTCAATAAGCCCGTATACTATTGCACACAGAGTCTTAGCATAACTATAATCAAGATATATAACTATGTATATAGCCAATACTTATACTCTTTTTCTAAATTATACATCAATACAGTTAATACAAAAACTCGAAATAGTGATCAGATTACAAAGAGGTCAATCAACATATACGTACCGAACAGTAGAAGGGACACGACAAGTGTTATTCTTGCATATATAGCTGGTGGAATCTTATGAATAGTAGTTAAATAAAAAGACTTAGGATGACAAGTAGTGTGGCATTAAATGAGTCTTAGATGGTAGGGATTTTATTCAACTATTATCGGTTGATTAACTCTTCATAATAGAGCTTAACGCCCTCCTCAAAGTACTGATAAATGATAGTGATCATAGATAATTGGATGTAGTTGAGAGAAAATCTTGGATTTAAGTTTCCTATTAGTTGGCACTATTCCGTGGGGAATACGTGTAGTATTCATGGGACAGATGCTCTGTGGACCTGGAACGTCACCATCGAACTATTTAAACCTTGACCAGTCTTCCGTAGGATTCAGTAGTAATGTATCAAATTGTCAATATATTTAACGTTTATTCAAATTACACAGGAAGGATCAATCCCCTGAAGAATGAAACTGTATCTTACTAATGAGTCCCTACTAGAAAGAAACCTAAATCCAAAGTTTTCTGCTGACCACCTCCAAACACTTGAAGCTTCAACAGAGTATATGTAATGTCCAGTCATTTATACCAGTGTGTATATTGCAACTGAATCGATAGAATTCATTCAGTACCAAAGAACTAGATAAACATTGGTTACGATAGTCACGCGGACCCCAACCAAGTAGTCTGCATCTACGAACATGGCTCAGACTAAAAGTTAGTGACTTCAAGCACTGATGCCACGTTTTGATTTGGCCGCCCCTAACTCTCTTCCAACCATCGCCAACACTAGTCAACATTGCTTGATTTAAATTAACTTATTATATTTTGTTTTAGTCAGAGTACTCAGATTTCATAGTTCTATTTAGAGGTTACTATGTTAATATGAAACCTTCTAATCATTATGAATAATGATGAAAAATTGTTGGAGATATGTTTCTCATGAAACTGACCTTTGCCACTGCCTAATTTGATCGTAGATAGAAGTGAATTATTGGAAGGCGTTGACCGTTTCATATATTTTCGAAGCCTCATCCACTGTAGTTCCTCCATTAACTGGTCATTTTATACATCAACTAAGTAATTTAGTTTACATTCATGTGTAGAAAACTTTCTATAGAGAACCAAATCTTAATCTTGACTATTTTTATCCATATTATAACATTATATTTTTGCCGATAGTCAACTTTCGTTATGACCTTTATGCCTTCTGAAAAGTAACGGCTGGAGTATTTCAGGCATAAAATCCTGGAATTCCACTCTGGATGATGGATTCCTATCAACTTCAGTACAGTGAATGCTATTCCATTTTCTGCCTTGCACATACAGTATAAGATAGTCTCATTTTACATGGTTTAGGTAGATAAGAAGTTATTGATTTCCTTAACTTATCCAATGAGATAAAGATTCTTCGTAGTCAACAAGACTTCTTTTCCTGTCTTTCTGCAAAACTTTAGGATCTTATTGTGTAGCTGGTTTTGGTATTTCATTATTGTGTTGTAAAATATTAGTCTCACTGTTTGTGTATAGGATTATTGCGAGTGCTGTTAGAGGCATAAAGATGTTTACCGTTCCTCGGTCGTCCAAACTATCGATGGACACTTCCTCTTGGCGTACCTGTAAAGGAAACTGAGTTGGTGATGGTCTAGACCTGGGACCGTGACTGCAATTCCCAATGGCAGGATGAACACGTATTTTTTGAGCAGTTTTAGATGGCTTAGCTTCATACTTCTAGGGCCTTGTGGACAGCATCGGAGATCCGTGAGATAATGTGAGGCGTGTTATTTTTAAGTTTTACATTTTCTAACCCTTTCCATTGTGATAAGGAGATATCGCTGCAAATGATGATTGTCTGAGGGAGAAGTCCTACTGCTTCACATCTCAGTGCCGTCGGCACTGCGACTTTGTCCTCGAACTATGAGTCCGTTACTTCTAGTCGTACCGTACTTCAAAAAACCTATTTGGTTTGGTAAGACCTGAAGGAATAGATTTTCCAGCCAATATAGTTCGTTTGTCTCATTACAGTATGCAAGTCCGACTACCACACCACAATAGCAGCTACGACGAGGATCTAAATATTTACTGTAGTATGACTGGTCATCAATATTTTTTACGACCAGATCGATCAATTTAACGTTTTTAGTTATTATAAGATGAAAAACTGTCATGTCAAGCAACAATTTATGACAATTAAAAGAAAGTTTCCTCTATATTTTAGGAGATGAAGTCAGTTTATGGAATGTGAAAGCTGAAAACTTTTTATGTTCCAGAGATCCAGCTCTTGTAGAGTATATGAAATCATCTAAATTAATTAGTGCTAGACGATGTGTTTCTTGTTTAACTGGTAATAAGCCAACAATCCTACAGAAAAATTCCAATCTAGATGGGATTCCAATTTCTTCATCAACTCTTCCTGTTCGTTGTGGATCCGATGATACAGCAACAACAATAATGAATACAGAAGCGATTACTAGTGATCCAATTTTATGTCAAAAATTTAATATACATTATTGGAATCGAAATTCATATTCGTCGAATTCTTCTCGTACAGCCACCTCATCAGGTGTAGCTCTGACAGCTGAATTTTCATCACCAGGTTCTGGTGGAACTACTCGACCGTCATCAGTGGCAATGCCTAACAATCATCCGTCTGTAACTCTTGTTGAAGAGGAACAAACTAACGTGGAGGTAAGGTAGTCGTTTAAAATTAATCTTAATATCGTAATGTATTTCACCAATAGTACTTCTTGTCAGGTTAGTGAGAATGTTTTATTTAGACTTTATGATCGTAGCCTTCAAGTTTTGTATAGTATGAAACCTGCCCATCAAATTACTGCCTTCCTCCATGCAGAATGTTTTCTGATATATGATTACGTTGGAAGAAAGCTAGGGGATGGCAAAATCAAAATTTACCATCAGTTCATGAAATCAGTGATTGTTGAACTCAGTCGTGTAGGTAGATGCACACGTTTCTAGCTTGATTAGGGTTCACGGGATAACCATCTACTTTCTTCTACTACTACTAATACTAATGCTGTTACCTCTTCTACTAACTTGGTATTTGTTTTGATAATTTCACATCTCAGTGCTGACATGGTGCTACGGCTACTTGAACCGACTATGCACATATGCGAAGTTCTACATTGCTTATGACTGATTGACGACGAACTTGTTCATTAGAATATCATATAAGTCTTAGAATTGTTATTGTTGAGTTCGTCCTATCTTACGAACCTCTGGCATTTTGAAGACAAATATCAAATGTTAGATAAAGCTATTGTCTCCCTTAGTTTCATCTCAACGGATTGAAATCTAACAATTTACTTCAGCTGTATCCTGGGGAAGTATGTAACGACGCGAATCTAAATTACAGTTTTTCAGTGGATGTAGAGTTAATCACGATCTAAACTAATTTGATCCGTTTCATACGTTACCAGTTGTTTACAATGATAAACAAAACTGACGGCATTCTAGTGACTAAGGACTTATCATAAGTGTAGACAGATTATTAGTTAAGCTTCCAGAGATGAAAGAGACGGAAGTTGTAGGAGACAACATTGGAAAGTCTCATTCATATTTCTTGACGCTTCAGTTATTGATGACTATTCACTTGAAATGTGATCTCTTCATGTGGACACCTAGGCTGTTTTAAATAATTTAGTTTAAAATAATTCAATAGCTTTTATGAAGCCATCAGAAATTTAAAAATGTCCAAGATGTCTTATATAATCATATATAAAATTTAATATTTGTCTAATTATCGTAAATTTCTATCTTTCTGTTTGAATTATCAGAATAGTGCGATTCATATCCATAGCGATTGGTATGATCTTCCTCTGAATTTAGGACAATCAAAAGATACTCGAAAGTATCAGTCATCGTCTGAATATGGATGCCAAGTGGAAATTCCTACTTCTAACCTTTCTATGCCAAACTGTCACCAATATCCTCATAATATAGTGAATAGTATGAACGAAAATAACATTAGTGATTCAATAACTGTGAAAGATTCTATTCAACGTCCTACATCTTTAGTTCTTATTACGTCACAACTGGAAGAGATTAAACAGGAAACAAATAGTCTACGATCAAGAATGTAAGTTTATTGATTTATATGACAAGTTATTTGTAATTGTGAAATTGTTTGGAACTATGAGTTTCTTAGTATGCACATTGTTTTAAATTTTTCTTTGAAAGTGAACTTTATTACTGTTTGGTGATTATTTCATGTTTGAATCAGTTTATTATCTCATCTATTTTGTTGTGTATGATATATCTATGGTGCTCCTCGGCAATGGGCATCAGCGATTCTATCAGAAATTTGATGACGGGGAGAGTTCATTGGAAAGGTGACCATCATTCAGCTTCTAAGTAACAAATTCGAAATCCACTCTACCCATGACATTTCAAGAAACCACGTGATATCGTGTTGTATGCTACTTATGTTGACAGAAATAAGTAGTATGTGACATCGACCGTGAGTAGAATGCTTGCCAGAAAAAGGATGAGAAGATTGAACTGAAAAACACACAAAGGAAACCATAAAGGAAATAAGAATTGGAAGAATCATGAAGGATTTAAAAGACAATTGATGGGAAATTTGCAAATGAAGTATTTAATGTATGACTTTTATGTTTTGCCAAAGTATTCTGTAAACAATAAATTGGTTTTCTCCACCCCAACTACTTGGTTGGGGTCCGCGCGACTATCGTAACCAATGGTTGGAGACTAGGTGATATGGCTCAGAATCGATCACAATGGCATCGGTGTATACACTCTTTATCTTCCCTTAAACCTTGAGATTAAAATTGCTTCATATCTTTCTTTCTTCCTGTACTATATCCTTATATACAACTTTTCTTTTATATATTTACACCACTAAATTAATTACTTCTATGAATCCGGTCTTGTTGTGTTAACGAGGTATGGCAACTTGGACCGATGCATATATGTGCTTGGTCCTACGTTGTAGCTGACTTTCCCCACCAAGTCTTTCTTCACTATTCAGTATCAATAACCTATACACTTAGTGTCTAACTTGATATCAAGTACACAAATCTGTATCTGGCATAGAGGTTAATCATAAAGACTATAGTTCTCCTGAATAGTCAGTTTTATTTAAATAAAAATTACACTTCAATCCATTTATTTCAATATTCACATCATTAACATTAGTTTCATCCACTTGAACTTTTTCAGGTGTATTGAAACAATCTGATAATGAGTTTTAATCTCTAATTATAGTTAGTAGTACAGGGTTATTTACAATTACATTCATTTCATAACATGGTTTATCTAAGATATTATCAGAGGATTTGCAAAACCATATTCTTAGCTAATACCGGTTCAATGATTCTTTTTTTAATTAAAATGAATGCGCACTGTTGAGGAGTCCCACAATAGGACGAAATGGCCGTCCAATGCTTCCAGGCTTTCCATGGTGGTCTAGCTTCAATTGTCTCATGATTTCAACTATATATAAAAACTAATTTGTTTAAAATATTAAATGAAACTTACCTTTCTCTGATTTCTTCTTGTTCTATTCATATTAATTTTATAAATTTTTTTCCAGAAGAAATCTATCATTTCAATTGTCGAATCTTCATGGTCGTGATGATTGTAATCAATATGTACGAAATGTTGAAAGCCTACCAAAATCGGATATTGTTAGCATTTCCACACCAAATAATGAAATTCATCTTGATAAAGTTAATACTTCAATTGATAAGAACCTTTGTAATAATAATGGTAATAATAATAATATGCTCAATGACTGTAACAGAAAGGTTATAAGATTAGAAGACGAGGAGACAACAGCTAATTTATATGCCCGGTTAACTACTATAGAAATATTGCTTAGAAATGCTGAATCTACTGAAGCTCGATTAGAAAAAGAATTTAGTCACTTGATAATTAATAATGAGAAACCATCATTGCCACCACCACCATCGTCGTCATTGTCCACGGTCAATGTCATAAAAGATTTAAAACAAAAACAAATATTTGATGAAAAATCTTTGATAAATGTAAGTTATAGTAGTTTTGATTATTAATGTTTGTCTATGATTTATTTATTTATTTTGCACATGATTTCTAATTGTTTGTCTGTGTATCTTTGTCTATCTGTTTATTTATATGAGTGTAAATAATGTATGAGATTGTTCCATAGTTACTATCAATGGTTTGATGGTGACGTTGAGTAATATGAATTTGAAATTGATCATAATAATTCAGAAGATGTATTCACTCTTTATCTTTTCTCCTTGATTTTAAATATTCTAGTAGTAGTCATTCATTGTTATTACCATTTTATTCCTTTTCAAACAATATTCTCAATGTCATGATTACTACGGCATTATTTTTGTTTTCTTTCACTATTCACCATGTTAATTTGATTAGATTTGTCATGACTTTATAAGAGGCCATCGCCAATTCGATACGGCTTTTATCACACGAATTATCCATCAATCGAAATACGACTTGTCTAATATTAACACTGTGCCAAATCAATGACGTTCAACTGATATGAGCAGTCAAGCGTCCATATTGGTCCCTTGTCCGCCTAGCTTTCCAATTGAGGCCAGAACACCAATTACAGCTTCAGCTATGCGAATCATTTATTTCAAGCATACTTTGTTTATATACCAGAGAGACAGACCACATCATACCATAAAATAGAAAATAATATTTGTACAAGATCAAGCCAAATGTGGCTTTAAACGTGGGATACAATAATCAATAAACTGAATATAATTTGGGAACAGTAAATCGTATAATAATAATCCATAGGTCAAAATGAAGCTTATAATAAGATGAATATAGACATAGATAATCTAGTTACTTAATAGTTATACAATAGGAATATACATAGAACAATCATCCATTAATAGTTCCCGGAAGTAGTTACCCGTACTTATGTCTTCTCTAGGATATAACAAGATTGTTTTCACTAAGCAACTTGATGGTTGATTAAATATTAGAGAACACAGATAATATGAAGATATGACATAAAGTAGTCTGTAATAGTTAAAATTCTTATTTTCTGTAACCATAATTACAGACTGGTAAAGTTTTATATTATGATAAAACGTTTTTTGTTTGTTTCTGAAATATAATGAACTTTTGTATGCTACTTGAACTTAATATTATGATAATTAGTTTGCTCAACGAATACCCTAACCATAACCGTAAAAGCTTTAAGGTATTTCTTTGTTATCTCGCTTAAAATGCAATTTATACTCTCGATAAATATACGTGTTTACATTTTTGCAATGATCATTCATAACGTCTCTGAAATTATTGAGAGATATTAAGGCTCTTCGATCAGTTACCGCATCGTTCGAACATGTTTCAACTCCACTTCGCGTCTTAGTAATGTAATCTCATTACCACTTTTTCATTTCTGGAGGAAAACAGGAGGCAGTGCGTATTCAATAAACAAGGCTGTTGATCGAGATCCCTTAAATTTTGTAACATAAATCTTTTTTAACTTCTGTTAACGTATCTATTGCACACAATAAAGTTGTCTAAACATCCATTGTTTAGTGACTAAGTGTCACCAAGATTAAACTGAGTTAATGCAACTGATTGTCTATCCAGTTACGTCATAACTACTAGCAGTCCTAGAAAATTGCTTTACGTGTTTATTTGACACAGAACATGTTTATCCAACTGTTAATACTAACCAATATTTTCTATATTGTTAGGCTACTAACAAAATAGTGTATTGTGATTAATTGATAACCAGTTAGATACAATTTGAGGTAGTAACATCACGGTTAGAATGAAGTTATTATTAACTTATTTGTTTATTGATAGATATCTTTATCCCCGGTGAGTTTTATTTGATATATCTTATGTTCTATATTTTTACTTGACAGGATTACTAATTTATTAAGTCCACCGATAATGAGTCCGGTTTCTCTAATATTACTAACAACCTTCATTTTCCCTGTTATGTCTACTAGGTGTGCTGACGATGATTGGTTTTGATAAACTCTGTCTACCTATAGCTTGATCAAGCAGAACGCGTTAAAATTCTGCATATTTACTGTGTATTGCTTTTTGACGTACATAATAATATGAATTAATTACAAGATCATAACGCATCATAAATAGGAAATCATAATCTGTGCATAAATTAGGTGGATTGCTGAAACGAAAATAAATAACAAGTACACAAATAATTGACCGTTATTTGTGAACAGTAAAATATATGTCAGTAGAAGTATAATGTGAGGACGAGCCAATTGAGTTCAGAAACGCGGTTTTTTTTTACATATAACGAGCAGTAGAAATATTATTGTATACTGCAAATGATCATGAGAAACTATTTATTATTGTAGAGGAGAAGTGATACTGTTGATCATATTATATACCCTATTCTGTATCGGTAGATTTTATATGACAAACAAATCCCAATAGTAATCTCTTAATCCTGAAACAAATCTTAACTTGGTGGCGCTATATTTTATGGGCAAACTAATTAGAAAGAGCCTCTTACATTTTTACGTGAAATTTGTTCATCCATATTAACTAAACGGCATTGTTACATTATGGTTGATGCCCGTTTGTATTGAAAACCTTAACCCTAATCCTTACCCTAAGTACCTAACCCCAACTAAATTCCTCAAAATGAGTTCTAGAAGTCTTCGTCCATTACAATGGTTTTTGTTTTCTTTTCCATAAGCTATCCATTTCGAAGATCTGTTTTCTGATTAATTTGGTATTGTTTGGTTGAATTTTCCCATTGATGTTTAGGACTGCAATTGATCAATGAATTTAAACTTCACCCATTGCACAAGCAAGTGGCTATCAGGACTCAGTAGCTAAGTGGATAACGTGATGACATTTGAAGCAAACGGTACTGTGTTCGAGTCCCATAGTGGACATCAACTCTGAGGTGCAGGTACATCCAACTGACGAGTCCGAAATAAGACGAAACGCGGTTCCTGAAGTCCACTGCTAGCCACTATCCATCTCTGGTTATAATGCTTGTGAATTAAGGGCAATATAGCGGCCAATAAGAGACTGATCAATTGCAGTCATAAACATCAATGAAAAAGATTCAACCAAACAGTACCAAGTGAGTTTAACTTAAGCTTACAATTAGGGCAATATAAAGCATCATAAATCAGTTATCTGCCTCCATATCACATTACTGTCACGAAAAAAGTTAGAAATGCAAATCATCGTGTATTATTAGCATGGTATGTTGGTGGTGTGTCAATTGTCTAACCAAATAGAATCCATTTATTTCATCATTCAACTTCATTTTATATGAAAAACATACTTGGTAGTTGCTAAGGCAGTTACAAGAGCAGTCAGATTTTATTAGAAAGACTAAGATCTCTTTTTGAACGATGACCACTCGCACACTTTCTACCAATTCGATTTTCCGCATGATCTTTGGTTGTCATACTTTTTTAGTTCGCTAAATTGCCACATACTCAAAGGTGTCATGTTCTGCTACTATGGTAACAACTTTCGTACCGATTCCGTTTAAGTCGCTTGTTCTACTATAAATATTAAGTTGCCTGCAATTCTGTCTTTTTCCTGTCTTAGCCATCGAGGTTTGATGCATTGAGTGTAATCGACTGTTGTCTGTTCCCAAGAGAACCGATCATATTATAGAAGCTCGATCATTTTCGTTCCTAAATCTGTAACATCGTAGGTCGTACTGAACCCCAATAACAAGGCACAACAGTAATTTTACATTTCTCTTACTTAACTCTCCAGATTGATACACTGTTTATGACACACATCATTTACAATTCCTACACGAATTTCTTCAATAAAATAACATTTGTTTGCTGTTCTGTTTTTAAAAAAAATAATTATTTAGGATAATGGATATGTTTGTTCTCATTGTAAGAACAACAATACAGTCAATAATACATCACGTAATAAACATGGGAAAAGTAAACATCGAGGCTGTAAATCAAACTCATTGTTTCAGCAAAAAATTACTGATAATATTCCCCGGTCAAGTTATCGTGGCCGAAGTCATTCTGGTCCTACAAGACGACGACAACGACAGAGACAACGTCATCATCATTGTGTTCCTGTTGTTAGTTCCAGCTATTCAAAAACATCTAATTGTAATATAATTGAAACTCAAACTACCGAATATTGTTCAAAAGCTGCTGTATCATCATCATTATCTTCCTAGGTTACTTTTGTTACACAATCATTTCCTCTTGTACATTCACATTCCAGTTTATAATTGATTTAAGTCTTAATAACTTTATCCTCTTTTATTTCCTATTTCTCTGTATATTAGTTGCTTTTAAAATGGGGAGAGAGAGATATATATAGAGAATAAAAATAGACATATTCACATTTGAAAGAGCATTTACTTCTATTGTGTTTCAATACATGTTTCACATTATTTCGCTTTTTTTGCTTTTAATAATCTTGACCCTAGAATTCTGTTCACAATTTGATCATTTCGGTTTGTTTTTTTTTACTCCACATAATTACATGTATCATATTCGTTCCCAACAACTGTCTCTCTTCGATTCTCCACTTTTCTTTTTACCCCCTTCTAATTTTGTATTTATATATATCTTCTGATAGAAATAACTATTTGTCTTCCTGAATCAGCATTTGATTCCTTTTTGTTATGATTAATTATGTTGAATTATCACTTCGGTTACCTTTTTGTTTCTTTAAAACAATCAATTTATGTATCATTTTATATATAGTTTGAAAGCTACATTGAAAAACATTCCTTACTGTTTAAAAGTGTCCTGTTTGTTTTTATTTTTCAACTTTTTCCCATTGTAGCTTTCAATTTGATGATATAAATGTGTATTTATGTAATTTTACTACTACTACTACTACGACTATTACTACTGGTTATTTATGATTATGATCCATTTGATAAATTCGTCATTGGCTTTTATTATTCACATCCAGTGAGATCCTTTGCCAGTTCGTTGTTACATTGACCATTTCTCTGATGTAGATATCAATCTTGATTTAGAGAATCGGGTTTTATTTAGTTGTGATTGTTGATTGATCATTGGGTATTGACCAATGTCATGTATGTTAGATTGTTCTTAGTGCAGATCAAATTCTATCGACCTAGTGAAAATGTAGCCACTAATCTAGGTGACTTGTTACGTCGCGTGCACCATGTTGAGATGAGGTTTTGGTTGGAGGTACTCGGAAAGAAACTCTTTACTCTGGTTTCGTGCTATTCAGAAAGGTGTATTTGTAATCCTGAACGAACTGATGCGTCATGACATTGTATGTATGGTTGAAAAAAGGATTCATCGTAGGGCAGAACACATATATTTATACATAGTTGGACATATACTGTTAGAAAATGAAAATGGTAGTCTTTCATATATATTTTTGGAATAAGTAAACATTGGCAAGCTGGGAAGATATAGATTCATCTGACTACAAACGGTAAGTAGTCGTTATTCTCTGACACTCATAATATCCCACACTTCAAACTAATCTCTGGAATTTGATTTGTTGTACAAGAGTTATATTCGTTGGTTTATTTTGGCTAGAATTACGATACTTGCAGCCATGTATTTAATGAAACGTGTTGTGAATGAATGCACAGTGAGAAACTGTACATCATATATTGTTCTTAAGAACTTTCTGAATGCAACACTTTAAGGAATTAATACAACTATGTATTGGAAGTTATAGAAAATCAGTCCAATGTAATTTCAATGGCTAGAAACACATTAGCAATCTACTTTTCAATGGCTTCAACCATGTCGTCTAACCATACGTCTGTGAGTTTCGTTAAAAAACATGTTTTCGACTAGATACGGATTACTGATATCGGTAGCTAATAAAATATCTGAATGTTATCAGAAGGGGTTTTGTGGAGATTTTTGTAATTTAATAGAGTTGAGATCATTAGTCAATTGAAGCTAGACCACCATGGAAAATATCTGAATGTTTTGTTAACGACTTTCTCTGAAAAATAACTTTCTGTGGTGAAATATTTGTCTACTGAATAATGTTTAAGTAGTTAAAAAGTTTTATATTCATTTTAGTAACTTCCGTTTTGTTAACTGTAAATATGTGTACTGTGATCCAATATTTCGTATCATTATGCTTCATTGGTTTGTAGACTCTAGGAATTGTTGACCGTGATTAACTTTTAATTAAGCACTACATAAAAGGAGTATGCACGATTTGTTAATACCTGATTATTATAGTACATGTCCGGTTATCTTCAATCTTACCATTAACATATATTTCCTTTTAAAGTGATATATTTAATCAAAATTTCAATGACCCATAAAATATGGGCAGAAGTTTTTCAACTAGTTTTAAAAACTGAAGCATAGGATGTTTCGTTATGCTGAACGTTTACATGTTTAGATGAATTAATTAAGGAAACGATAGTAAATTGTTTCATTCTAAGGTAGGGGACTGGGTTTTTAAAATTAAATTATTTTTTAATTAGAGGTTAAAAGTGGATCATAATTGATAATAAAATACGCTGTATATGACATAGGCACTAAAACTTCTGTTTGGATAGATTTCTGTAATTTGTTATTGGAAGATGAATTATTTACTGTGTTGATGACTTGATAGACAACTTTTTTCCATGTAATTGTAGCCCAAATGTGTTCCATGATTTTACATGTTAGGCAGTTGGAATTAGTCCAAAGAGGATTATGGAAGTATGTTTCATATTGGTTCACGTTCATTAGGAAGGTATGTATGTAATCTTGAAGGAAATGATATTCCATCTGCTATGCGATCCTATTTCACTTAACCTCACAGTTTGTGACGTTACCATTGAGCTGTTCAGACCATAATCTTCAGTTTGAGGTTGTTAAAATAGTTCAACTTCACTGAAATAATGAATTGATTTGAGTTAGAGAATCATTATAAACCGGGAATTACTGGACTGTCATTTCATATTGGTAAGTGGCTATTCAGCAGTGTAAATCCATGGTTCCGCAACTAGGAATCAAACCGAGAACCACCAGCCTTTCATGTAATCTCTTAATTCCTACACCTTTGAGTTGGAGTCCAACGATGTACTTTAATCAATTCACGATATTAGCAAACTATTTTCCATTGCCTTCAGTGGGTAGCTTCCTCACGCCCAATACAATTGAATTCTACTGTTTAACGAGTCGAAAGAAGATCCTAGGTTCGTTCGTTGAGAACTTACACTGCTGAGGAATCTTATACTAAGATAAATGGCCGTCCAGTACTTCCAGGTTTTCAATAGTTGTCTAAATTTGATCTATTCATGATTTCTATTACACTTACTATCTCTAAATGTAATCACAATGATTATCATGTTGAATCTTTCTCAATCATAAAATGATCAATATCTAATTCCATCAGTTGAAACCTGTCTCATTCTTAAAAACACACTTCCTTTCCCTACTTTTTATTATTTTTTTATTCCATAAGAAAGCTTTTATGTGAATACTTAAATTCATTGAAAATATTCAGTTTTCATTACAGAAGTGAAATATTGGGATATTGGTTTATATTTGTTGTTGTTTCTGTTGTTGCTAAGGTTCTTTATCTTAACATTCATGATACAATCATTAATCATTTAAATAAATAGTTGAAAGCTTGAGTCAATTGGAGCTAGATCACCAGGGAAAACCTGGCAGGATTCGAACTCAGGACCTAGGCGAGATCGTGGATGCGCACTACTGTGGAGTCCCACAATAGGATGACAGGGCCGTCCAGTGCTTCCAGGTTTTCGATGGTGGTCTAGCTTCAATTGACTCACGTTTTCAACTATGAAAATACAAAATTCTCTACGAAACCCCTTGTAATTTAAATAAATAACAGATTTTCATACTGTTTATTACTGTTTCCAAAAAAAGAAGAAAAGAAAAACCTAATTGATTTTCTGATATGATTTTTTTACTGATTATTTTAATCGAAAAAAAACAAACTTTTTTTGTTTTTGTTTGAACAAACTGTTTTACCAAGTAGAGCTTTATTCATTATACAGTTTTGGTTATCATTAATCCCATTGTTCTTTTCATGAATCTTCCTGTTTTATATTCAAGAAAGAAATGGGAATAAGGATAATGAAACTTAATATATTTTTTTCTTTTTTCAATTTTTGATTTAAATTTTCTATTTTGGCTCGGTCAATTCAATCTATTTAACGTATTGAATAATGTTTTGAAATGGTGAGATAATTAAAAAAAAGTTTTAATCAAATGAATAAAAATGAAATGAAGAGATAATAAATTGAAAATTTAAAAGTGTTATATCGATTAAGTTTGTGCCCTTTTTTGTATATGTGAACGTGATAAGACCACCTATTGGGGAGCAGCGATCTATTGATCGGATCAATAATACACGAAAACTGTATGAGCAGTCTTGAGTACTTATCAGTTCTGCTATCTGCCTAGCTCAGCCAGTTAAGTCCAGGACACCAATAACAGCCTCTGCGAATACGAATCATTATTCTCAAACATTCTGGGTTTATATACCAAACAAACTGATCACATCGTACCATAAAATAGAAAGTGTATAAGATTTAGCCAAATGTGGCTGTGAATGTGGAAGATTGTAATTATTAGACCGCGGATAACTGAAGAATGGTAAATCGTATAATAATAGTCTATAGGTCAAAATAAAGCTCATAATAAAAGGAACGTGAAAATGAATAGTTAAGTTACTTAGCGATTATACAATAGGAAATATACATATCACATTGGTCCATAAATAGTCCTCACATTTACCATTCATAATTCTCCATGGGATACAACGAAAAAGTAGTTAGGATATTATGTATGTCATTCTATATTCAAATTATTAGACAGTTTACATCACCGAGTAATTATAGTTAAATAATCATTGAAAATGAAATGACACTAGTTAGGTGAAACATAAACTGAGAGATCTGTGGGTCATTGATTCTCGCCCCCCCTTCTTGTGAGGTTCTAGATATGTACTATTGGAAAGTGTCATACTGGAACAAAACAGCTATCTAAAGTTTCCTTGTTTTGGTGGTTATCTTAATAAAATTAACAAATGACACAAACTATCAAATGGAATAATCAGCACAAACTTCTCATATTAGTAAAACTATTTTATTGAATTCATCAAGTTACTTAAGGAGTAACTTACTTGTCCTGGGCCTTCCTTTCTAATTTTATCCAATTTTTTGTTCACTCTCATGTCTGTCTCCATTTCTCGGCGTAATGTGTTCTTTGGTCTGCCTCTTCTCCTTTGACCTTCAGGATTCCATGTGAGGGCTTGCCTGAATTCATTATTAGTGGTTAAGTAAAATTATTAAATGCTATAAAATCTTCTTCTATAAGTATGATTGATGGTAAAACGTTCGGATTTCATCTCTTCAAATCCATTTTCATTACCTATAAATATAAAACTACTTAATAACTTTAAACTTAATAGAAAATTAAAATTCAGTAGTTTATTACCAGTTAGTATTAATGTCTGAAACCAACTATACTGCATAGAAGATCATTTTGTCTTGTTTTGCAGTTTTGAAAAATTACCTCTAAATTTAAAGGTTAATTATATTAGTCTTTTGATCATAAATAGTGTATAGTAAGGATTAGACATACATTACGGCAATCACCACATTACATCACAAGGCAAGCTCTAACTTGGAATCCTGAAGGGAAACGGAAAAGTGGAAGGTCAAAGAACACATTACGTCGCGAATTAGAAACAGACATGAAAAGCATGAATAGCAACTAGAAAGGATTGTCCAGGACAGTGTTGGATGCAGAGTGCTGGTGGGATAACAGGCGTAAGTAAGCAAGTAAGTGTATAGTGAAGCTATAGATAAAACAATATTGATGTTAATGCAGTGTAAAAGGGTAGGTTAATCTCTTCGTGAAATTGTTGAACTTCGCTGACTTAATTGTATGGAGCAATTTTTTAGAAAGTATAT